TGTTTTTGAGAGGCTTTTATATCTTATCACATGACCATACCATTGCATTGTTTGCCTTTTCACTTTAGTTAACAAAGTTTCATAGTTGCCAATATGTGATTTCAGTCAACGGTTTCTAAAATTAGGGACTTTTGCATCATCTGAGGTGAGTTCCATATATTGTAGTTGATGGGAGATGTAGACGTGTTGGATAACACGTTGTTGCTCGTCAAAAACAGGGCTCAAACTAGTTGAGTCCTACCTAGGCGTGCATATGTGATGATTGAGTTTATGAGAAGATGCTGCGGGTCAAGCCAGGTTTTGTATGCGAAAAATAGGTGGCCTCACTGCGAAGTTCAACTGTGCGTGGAGTTTCCTATATCTTTGTCCCCGGGAAATGTTGGTGGTGTTGGCTGTGAAAGAGCCTATAGACTGGCCGGTTCTGCCTTATTTGCCTTCTGAGGGATCGCGTTGAATTCTTATGCCTTTTGAGAGATAGGACGAACAGTGGACTTTGGAAGCAGCGTATCTGCATCGCTGTTAAGAATGCGAAAATTGGGAGTAAAGATCAGCACAGCCAAGCACTAAAGGCATACCGGGCGTAAACAAAGGTTTTGTCAACCAGCATAGAAAAGGCACTGTTAACAGCGAGTCCCTGATATACATGTTAAAGGGGTAATCAAAGCACAAAGTGTTGAGGAAGATGCTGCTGGCATGCTACGAGTCGAGAGGCATGCTTCACTTCAGAGGTCACAGGAGAATAGCATTGTTTTGAATATTTTCTTTAGGTCCTGCCGATGTACTGGAAAAGGAACAGTCAGACATATTGGCTGGCTCTGCACAAATTCGTGGAATACTGATGCTGGTATTCGTAACCGTGTCCCTTCAGGTGTTGTTAGGGACCTTACAGAGACAGCGCATTTCACATGTAGTTATTTTCTATTTTATTACCACATTCATTCTCCATCTTTGGCACTGACGGCATAAAGTAGGGATAATGAGGCTTTTAATCATTTGTTGTTTTGCTAGAGGGGAAACATGTGGGTGTCTAAGCAATGGAGCTAACTGGTCCAAGCATTAGCTTTCTAGCAAATGACTGTTACATACACAGTAAAGATATGTGTAACAAAAATACATAAACCAATGAACGCAGTATGAGTTTCCTGGTATGGAAATAGTTTAAAAAAAATTATTGCATAACACCGCACAAATATTTATTTACCGTGTCTTTACCATTTCATTTCTTATTCAAATGACAGGTATAGCGCCTTGGGAGCGAGTCAGAAAAAAGCAGCAATGAACCTGTGGCAAACCAAGTGGAACCGCTTTATAGACGAAGTGGTTCGGGAGCAGAAGGCAGGTCGCAGTTACAAAGGTTAGGAGAGGCAGAGGAGAAGAGGCATGTGAAGAAACAAAAACGATAATTATAAAGACAACACCAGTTTCTTCAAACTAACAGATAGAAAAACAAATGTCGCAAGAGCCAAGATGGTTGTTTACTTCACAATATGCAATTAAAGAATGTTATTTTGTTCCGTTTTCTCACATTGATCATGTTTTTTATAGATAAGAGTACCGCTCCTCCTTTTTTATCGTTTTGGTTTTCCCTCCTTCTATTTGACAAATACAACAGGGTTTTGTTGATCCAGTCTCGGAGAGTGATGCCACATCAACAATGGTATATATAACTCCGAAATATTGAGGGTTTTTTTAAAACCACATTTAATAGCTCAAATGTCTTTTGGTCAATATAATCATGCTTTACACTTTACACACTTTGTAGCTGCAGCTAATAGAGAAGCCATATATAGGCATACTCGCCACTGCCCAGAGACGTCATGTCATTACAAAGAGGAAAAGTCAGAAAACCGGCTTTGCGGGGTGACAGTTAAGCTCACTAACAAACATACAATAACACTGCCACAGATGCCATTAGAATAAAAACTTTGCAGAAGATAGGAACGAATCGCTTATGGGAATATCACGAACACTATGAGAAGAAACTCCACAGGGGAGCATGTACAGCAGGAGTCTACCAACCACCAGTAGAAGTGATCCCACGTCCAGAATTGTTTCGGCCCACGAGCTCCTAGAGGGTGGGCCCACCTGAGTTTATGAAGCTCAGGCTTTATCTGCTTCCGCACAATTGGACAACGTTGTCCAATCTGTTTAAAATCGTGCGGGCATCATTCTCACTGCCCGTGATTATAGTCGTGTCATCCATAAAAGCTCACAGTGGCGGCATCCAGTGGTCCCCAATCCAAAGGCCTTGTCCGTAGCCGGCCTCCCCGTCTAACATGACCTGCATGGCCATAAGGAACAGTATGGGCGAGATCGTACACCCCCTTGCTAAACCAACCTGAAGCTCGGTCCATCTTGTAGTAAACGTCGGGATCATCATCAGGTGCCTTGCCGACTGACGTGGGCGATCATGCCTCCCAACAGTCTGCGATCTCCTGCAGCAGGTTTCAGTTCGTGTGCCGACACACCTCCATGCTATGCAACAAGTCTGTCAAGAAACTTCTCTCGTTGTCTTCCTCTATCCCTTCTTCCAGAGATCTTTCCAGTGGCCAAAACATGTTCTATTTTCCCTTTTCTCATAACATGGCCGAAAACGATCTGGTAGAGAAGCGTAAAGCAAACTTTGATAAATATTCCTCCATCATTTCGTTGATCTGTGTCGGTACGTGGAACATGCGATCAGCCTGCCACAGTAGCTTATGGGGAACCGCCCCATAGTCTTTAGCGAGGTCCAACTATGTCACGTGCAATTGCGTTCTCTCTGCTTTGGCCCTCTGAATAAACTCCCAGATCATGATCGCATGTTCAAGGCACCTAGGGACGCCCGGCATTCCACTTTTCTGAACATTCGTATCGATGTATTTGTTCGCCATCAGATACTGTGTGAGCCAGTGAGCCATAACCGAGAAGAATATTTTGCCCTCAACATTCAACAGCGAAATAGGTCTGAATTGAGACAGACTCGTGGTGTCTCGCTCCTTGGGAATGTAGACCCCGTTGACCCATTGCCACTCGGGACATATGTGATTTCGGCTCCACGCTAATCTCAGTAAGCGGTGAAGCTTTCGGAGGTTTTCCGGACAGTGCTTGTAAACGATTCGGCCCTGGGGCGGACTTGCCGCTAGCTCTTTTCACAACTTCTTCGACCTCAGGCCAAGAGGGAGGCATCATTTTAAATAGTACCTTCGGAAACTCTGACCGCTTCAGGCCGATAGTGATCTCTGGGTTCCCATCTACATCTTGCGGAGATGTGACTCAAGCTCCTCTTTACCGACCACCAGAGTCCCAGACTTCGGTTGCTCGAACAGACCTTGGGCAAACTGGAACGGATCCCTAAATAATTTCTCTCGTTCCCCTTTGGTTTTTCTTTCTGTTCTTACAGAAAAGATATATATATATATATATATATATATATATATATATATATATATATATATATATATATATATATATTTATACTCCCTCTCTCTTTTTGTGAATATATATCTATATATATATAAATCAATGTTTGTGTGTTTGTTTATCCCCTATAGACTCGGAAACTACTGAACCGATTTAGCTGAAATTTTCAGGATATGTTTGTTTTGATACCGGATGTTCACCCATCATGGTTTGAAATTCAACCTGTCATTGTTAGAGATAGTTTGCGACAATTTATGCCATAATATTCGAAACTAATATTTATAGTTTTAGTGATTTCTAATTATAGCCACGTTAGTAATTGCACATGCGCCGTAGTCAGAACGCAAGGCTTCCACCATTCGCCGGCGAGTTACGTGCAGCCAACGCCTTCTCTAATACACAGAGTAGGTCGTGGTACAGCAAACAAGACTATCTATATATTTGAAACAATAACCATATTAAACACGATTTCTATTTTCTGTTTTTTTTTTAAAAACAACTTTCGATGGGGGGGGGGGGGTGGGGGGGTGGGGGGGGGGCATCAAGGACTATCTCGACGTCGGCACAGACATTGACTGCGACACTAACTTCACTAACCGTTTTAGACACGTGCGATTCCTATTGTTGTGCCGTTTCATTAATAGATCTGGAGTATTTGTCTACGAGAAAACAATTGCCTGCGGTTTTGAGTTGTGCTATTTTCAGGACACATCTCTAATAGTTCAGTTCTCTTTTCGTTGATCCGATTAAGTGGCTGCTTGGTCGAATGGTTGGAACACTGGGTTCCTTTGCAGGAGACCAGGGTTCGAATCCGCAGTAGTTAATCTTTTTTATCCCGGACTAAAATAATATCCTCATCTGTTCTGTCGTGGTGACAGCACTAGCCATGTTGCCTCAATACTTGAAAAAAAAAAAAAAAAAAGACAAGTAAATGGGTAAACCATTTGATAATTAAATTTGACCATTTCGCATACTTATGATTGCATTTTTAAACTTTACGATTGCATGGTTACGCTGAAATGTCATAGATTTTCATTTATTTTCATTTAGATTTAGTTATTTCATCTGCGTCGGAATTTTAAGCTGTGCTGATTACCATGGCGTTCATTTCCTAATTATGGTGTTTTTTTCCTGTGTTCATTTGCTTTTCAAGTGTTTTTTTTTCTCCCAACTACTTCAATGAGGGGAAGATTTGTCGGTGAGTTTGGGGGGGGGGGGGGGGGCAAACTATTAACTGAGACAGCTTTAAGTCACAGTAACTGCTTTACCCACTTAAAGTAGCAGCAGCAGTAATAGTTGTGGTTGGGCTGTTACACCATAGGGCTCTCACGTGAAGACCGCCGGTAAGGTTATGGCCTTCTACTGTCGGGAAGTGAAATTATACATCCTAACCTGGCCAGTCTGTGGCGACAGCACTAGCCATGCGGAACCAAATCTTCTGGCTCACGACTCTCTGTCCACCCCGATGGTAACACAGATAGCAGTGACATTATTTTAGCTACTGTGATGGTGGTCGTGGTAATAGTTGTACTGGTACTTGAAGGATGATGTGGTAAATATTACACTAGCCCCATTCACTACCTTTTACAATTCCTGCT